ACAGAGAGTAATCCATTTTTTCTTCATATGCTTTATCTCCATTCCCTTTTGTGAATTTGTATCTTTGAATCCTCCCCTTTTCTGTCATTGTTGTCTCAATTTGTTCCTATGTATGCTGAACGTTCATTACTATCTTGTTATAACAATTCTCTTATTATTATTTAAGCTCATAATTCCCTGTTCTTAGTAAGGGTTGCTCTCCTCTGCTTCTATTTGCCTGATCGTCACCTTACTCTTAATTATGCATTTTTTCGTCCTTTATTTTTAGGTGAACTGACCTCTTTCAGTATTTCCTGTAGTGCATGCCTCGTAGTGGAGAATTCCCTTAATTTTTGTATGTCTGAAAAAGTCTTTATTTTTCCTTCATATCTAAAGGAGAGCTTTACTGGATATATTATTCTCGGCTGGTAGTACCTTTCACTTAATAGTTTGAATATTTGATTTCACTACTTTCTGGCTTGTAAGGTTTGTGCTGAGAAGTCCAACGATAATCTAATGGGTTTTCCTTTATAAGTTACCATCATCTCTCCTGGCTGCCCTGAGAATTCTATCTTTGTCATTGATTTTTGATCATTTTAATACAATGTGTCTTGGCGAAGGCCTTTTTGGGTTGAGATAATTGGGTGTTCTATTGACTTCTTGAATTCCAAGCTCTAGCTCATTCCTTAGATTTGTGAAATTCTCATCAGCTATTTATCTGAAAATGTTTTCTAGTCCCTGCTCCTTTTCCTCCCCTTCGAGAATGCCTATTATTCTTATGTTTCCTCTCCTGATGGTATCAGCTAGTTCTTGTATATCTCTTTCATTATTTTTCATTTTTCTTTTTCTCTCTTCTCCTGATTTATTTCTAGATTTCTGTCTTCGATATCACTGATCCTTTTCTCCATTTGGTCAACTCTATTTCCCAAGCCTGCTATTTCAGTTTTCAGTTCTTGCAGTGTGTTTGTTCTTTATCTCCAGAAGGTCTATTCGGTCCTTTTTGGGGGTTTCATTTTCCTTGCTAAAGAACTCATTCTGCTCATCTAGTTGTTTTTTCAGTTCCTGAAATTGTTGATATGACTCATTTCAGATCTCACTGAGTTTTTCCAGAAGTACCATCCTGAATTCTCTCTTTTTTAAGTCATATATTTCTATGTCGGTAAGCTTATTTTCTAGAGATTTTTCTCTTTCTTTCTGAGATGCCTTGTCACCTTGGTTATTCATAGTGTTTAATGGACTGTTTCTCTGACTGGGCATTATGGAAGTGTATTCTGATTGTTTTTCCAGAAAGAAGATTTATTATATAATGGTCCCTAGCCTGTTGCAAAGAAGGTGTTTTTCTTTTGGTTTCCAGTAGGTGGCATCTAAGCCTCTTGGATCTCTGCTTTATATACAGTCTTAATAATGTCTTTTTCTTTTCTTCTAGATGTTTAATCATGCTCGCTACCCTCAATCTCAATTCCTGTTTGGTGTTAGCGACAGTTTTGGTAGCATTTGTTCAGATTCCCCTGAGGCTCCATGGCATTCTGTCTCGGAGGGTATAGAGGGAGGGGCGCTATGGGTTGGGGAATGGGGGCTGTGGCTCAGCCTTCGTTTTGCAGCCACGGCTGGTAAAAATCAACTGTCGCTTCTCTGTTGTCCTTGTTTCTCTGCCTCCTGCCCTGATGATTGGGCTCTGCCACTGGCTGCGTGGATCTCGCAGTACTCCCAGTCAGGGCTGTTCAGGGAACTCACCACACCTCCCCCTCCTCTTACAGGGAGCTCCAGCGGCTGAGAAAGTCAGCTTCTTTGTTTCTCCCAGTCCACTGCCCGACACCGGGGGTTCTGACCTGTGGTAGCTCTTATGAGCAGATCCCATGCTCAGACGTGCTGGTGTGCAGTTTGGGTGTTTTTTGTTGAGTTTTAGATGTTCAGCTTATTGTTGTTTCAAGGGGAGAGATCCAGGAACATCTCTCACTCTGCCATGTTTCTGGCGTCGCTCCTGTTTTCCTGAAGTACAACTGGGTTTGATAGAGGCTCAGCTCTCCAAAGTTATGTATCATTTGAGGTTCATTCAGGATACAGAAACCACACTCTCTGTTCCAAGTTTTTTCTCCTCAAAATGCATTCCTTTCAAAAAATAATAAATCTGTTGAAGTCTGAATAATAAATACATTAATAAAATGTAGGTGCCAGTGACTCAGAAGCGAGAGCACAAAATTTGAAAGTGTCAGGAAACTGCAGACTGGATTAAGTCCTGACTACTGAAGAATGGCCGTAGGGATGTGGAACTTCTGGCCAATTTAATGCAGACTGTCATCCCCAACTTGATCACTGGCCAATGGGGAATCTTAATCTAAGAACTCTCAGAGACCTCCCAGTAGCTGTTGACTCCAGGAGTTAACAGCCTCCATGGAGACAACAGAATAAGATCAACTTTCTGAACCTGATCTGATTTCCTTTAGCCTCATTCTATTCCCAGAGTATAGCAACTGCTCTTAATTTAAATGTATCTGCATTGCCTAGGATAAATTGAAAGTATTTGTAGAAGTAGGATATCAAATGTTTCTAAAACGAGCTCTTGATTGAAGATATAAAAGGTTAGGAGCTAGAGTTGTAGGCATAATGCTTAGTGCAGGTGTCCTTGCATGTATCCATACAGGCCACATAGACAAGGCTTAACCTCAGCTGATCTAAGACTGGGTAAAATGCCCGCAAATCCTCTGAGAGAAAGGAAAGCTTGTGAGGAACTACTACAAGGCAACTTCTCACCCTCCTCTTTATCTTCCCTGGAAGCTGTTATGAGACAATTTCTCATTGGCTCCTGGATTCTAGTGAGATGTAAGGGTTTCTGCCTCGAAACTCTTCTTCCCCACACTTTGGAGTATAACTGTATGATATAAAACTGCTTAGCGTGAAATACTCAAACAGCTTAGTATGAAATTGGCCCCTCAGAATCAGAGCTTTCCATTTCCTGTGTTGCATTGTTATCTGACTTTTTTTGTTTTGAGACACAGGGAGCTGGCACCTTTGCTGATCTTGCCATTGCTGTCTATGTATGTAAGAAACTGTCTGATGTAAAAAGGGTTCCTGGTTTTTTTGCCAACTGCATCTCTCGGCCTTGCCTGATAGCAAAGACAAATGCTCTGCACCCACCCAAGGCCCATAAGTATGGCCTCCTTCCTTCTCCCAACTCAGTTTAAATACTAGTTAAATTTGAGTAAATTATGTCAGAAAAGTGATCAAAACTAGATTTTTATTTTTATTGTTACATATATTTTTGTGTTTGAAAGTAAGACATGCTCATGATAACTTTGTAACAGACTAATTCTAGTTTCAAATTGTTGAAGCTCACTGGTTCCTGTCTAGAGAGTAATCTAAGATATCTTATTGTTGATTTTTCTTTTTTGATGGGGTCTCTGGGATTTTTGTTGTTTTTTAATCTCGATTTTTCATTCGTTAACCAGTGAACAGCCTTTGAGGGGAGGAGGGCAAATGGATCCCACATTCCACTTCCCAGATCTAGTTTAGAAAACGTAGTCCCTCCCTGATGCTCTTAGGGAAGAGTACTGCAAGTGCCTCATTTAATGACATATGCTCCTTTTTGAAAGTTGCCTTTTTCTTCCACGCTTGATAGGTCCAGTGTTTGATGAAACTCATGAAAGTGCATGGAACCCAACTTGCCCTCTTCTCTAGAATGCAATGCATATGTGATTGCGACTTTTAAGGTAATTTGTTTGCCAGTTCTTTCTTTCTTTGAAGTTAATGTCTAACTCTTTGTATATACATAAAGCAAAATATTTCACCTTTTGAGATACACCAGATGAAGTGAGTTCATAATTTAAAAAGTTTTTCCGTGTCAAAAAAAGTAGATGTAGCAACCATTGTATATTTCCTATATATATGAACATTCATGTATACATTTATATGTATAGGTATATTAATTAAAATTCTGGAAGAACACACAGAAAATACTAATGGTGGTGAGGTAGTTGATTGGTGAGGTTGGGTACATGTAACAAGCGTGAAGTTCAGAGGAGACAACCAGACTGGACATTGTTCATGTATATCATTTTATATTTTTAATATTTTACTGTATTAACATGATAATACCTGTTCAATGCTAAACCTAAAACTAAAATATATTATATTACTTTTATAATTTGACAAATGTATTTCTTTTCTTAGAAAGGTTTGAGAATGATTTCTTTATGATGGTTCATCTAAATATGTTTGTAGAATTCTGTTCAAGTTAATTTGGAAGGTATCAGACCAATTTATAACAAGTACAAATGTGAACATGGGTCTTAACTGAATACTTTGATCATTGGTTCAGACATAAAGCTTTGAAATAAATACATTTGACTGAATTACAGACCCAAAAATAGCTTATCCTGTGGGCTAGGACAGAGTGAGGGAGGGGAAGAATGGTAGGTGACAAGGTAATAGACTCAATGGAGTGGCCCCTTGCTTATGGCCTGTTGGAGTGAGAAGCAGGTCCTTTGAAGCACCAACTTCTTACTACGAAGTCCTCCTACACTACAGCCTCTTCCTTCTGTCTAAACTCTGTGGATATTAGCCTCTCTCCCAAGAAGGAATAGGAGCCTGCACAGTGTGGGTTATAATTTCCATTTGCAGATAAAATATATGACTTCAGTGTGGCATGATTTTTTTTACTCTCTGTAGAATTCAGCCAATGAAACAGTTTTCTCACCAATTGCTTCATGCAGCAACTTCCGTATTTCGAACATGTGGTCATCTTTTAACCACTCTTCTATTCTATGTCAACCAAGTCATCAGGGAAGAAGATCATTTGAGGAGTGTAGAAATTCAAGGTCTTTGGATTGGGTACTAGTCAGAGGTCACATTGAAGAGAGCACTAAACACATCCCAAACATGTGAGGGGTGATCCTGGTGGTATCAGGAGAAGACACCCTGAGGCTATGCCTTATAGTTATGAGTGACCCAAAAGCTCATGGAGACTGTGATTAGTCCAAGGTTGCTGTTTATTTATAAAACTTAATTTTTCAGATGAGAGGGACAAGGTTAGGGTTTTCACTCTTCCCTCTTTACTCTTCCCTCTGCCCCTCATCATCCTCCAGTTGCTGGCTACTATTTGTTGAGCACTTACTAGATAGCAGGTACTGTGCTAAGCACTCAACTTATCTGTCTTATTAAATCATCACAAGCCTCTATTATCATGATCCCTATTTTTCAGCGAAGGAAACTAAAGCTCATAGAAGCTCTGTGTGATCAAGTTTCTACAATTCACAAGGAGTAGGACTTGAATTTGAACCCGATTCTGTATGACATCAAGTCTGTTCCCTTTACCACTCTGCTCTACTACAAAAAATTACAAAGGAATGCCAAAAGAGCTCATAATTTGACAAGGAATTTGAGGGAGGCCCAGGTAAGACATAATTATGAGGCGGGGCTTCCATTTGACTCATGTTGGCAGTTAAGGCCTAGGGCAGGTTTATAGTAATGGCTTAAAAGCTATATATTGAAATGATAGGCATTAGTGCCAGTAGCCTGAGGAATTGGTATGTTCATCTCTGTGAGTTCAGTGGTTATATTGTAATGCAAAACCAGAGAGAAACCCAGAACAGAGACTCAACAGAAGCAGGACACCAAGGTCAAATGGAGAAATCCTTCAGTTGTATTGACAAATGTTTGGTCCCTGTGCAGATTTAAATGATGTCTTTCTTTCCTCTTTTTAAAATTAAATTAAATTTTTATTTTAAAATTATAGTTGACATACAATATTACATTAGTTTCAGGTGTACAGCATAGTGATTAGACATTTATACATCTTATGAAGTAATCACTAGGATAAGGCTAGTAACCATCTGTCATTATATGTAGCTATTACCATAGTATTGACTATATTCCCTATGCCATATATGTGATTTTCCTCTCTTTCTAAAGGCATTTTTAGGTCTGAGAACTTAAGATCAGCTCACAGGTAGCCCCATTCCAGTCAGCCTGAGTTCCACCATATCTCTTCCTCCAACTTCTATGTCTGTGTTGATGCTGTGCCTGGATGTCTATTTTCCTGCCTTCTAGTCTATTACAATTCTCCTAGCCTACATTAAACATACATAAAATATTTCTTAAAAATACAATAATTCATTTTCAAAAATAAAAACAGTAACAAATGCTATCTCTTCCACATGTAATCTTTAGAGTTAAACAGACCTGGGTTCAATCCCAGATTTTGTTGCTTCCTACCTGGAAACTCGTCCAGGTTACTTATCCTCCCCAAGACTAAGTTACCTCCTCTGAAATATGGGCATTGTAATAAACAGCAAACAGGGTCGTAGTGATATTAATTTAAATCATACATCTAGTTCAATACTTGTCATACAGTTAGTCCCCAATATATGTTACTTTCTTCCCTTTTCACTACTCATCTCAGAATGAGATGATCCTCTCCTTTATGTCTGATGAAACTTTACTTCATAGGCATGTCTCACTTTCTATCTGTACTAAGGTATTTCTGCAGCTGTCTTATTCTCCCTATAAGACTATCTTTAAGGAGAGAGAGTTGTTTGAAATTCATGATCCACTCTCTCTCTACTCCCATACAGCCAACTCCCTCACCCCCCATTTACACACGTTCTTTATACAAAGTATGTTCTTATTAAATACTTGTTTAAAACATGATTAAAATAAAAGTAGGAAGCAAAGAAAAAAATGAAGAGATAAAGACTGTTGCATTAAAAAAATTTATTGAAGTCATCAAAATGACTCAGAAAGATTCCCAACTCATATCTGCCTTTCATGTACTCCTCTCCCCCAAATTGTGATGATACCATATAGCATGTAGCTGTTTTTTTTTTTGTTTTTTTTTGTTTTTTTTTAAAGAAAGTAAAAAACACTGCAGAAATGGATATGGCTATTTGAATTGCAGTGGTTGGTATTTATTCACTCCTTTTCTTTCCACAGAAACCCTCATAGGTACTTGGCTGTTCTAATTTGGCTACCTGGCAACAAGGATCTGTAATATCTTAACTACCACCTACAAAGAGGAAATCAGGTAGAAGGTTCCACCCTCTGTATCAACTGGCTAGGCTCCAGTACTGCAAAGAACCCTAATTAATTTGCAACCTAGAAAATCCTGTCTAAAATCTGCCATCTAGTGTGGACTTTGTAAAATTACATACATATTCCTGGAAAGAAATCCCGTGGTTCCCACTAGGGCTTTCCTCATGGGCATTAGATTTGAAAATTTTAAATTATCAAACAAAATTATCCAAAGTGCATTATATTTAGTTTCCCATTTGGTTTTAATCAAAGTTAGATATATATAGAAAGAGATAGATCAGGGGTCCCCAAACCCTGGGCCACAGACTGGTACCCGTCCGTGGCCTGTTAGAAACCGGACCGCACAATAGGAGGTAAGTGGCTGATGAGCCAGCGAAGCTTCATCAGTATTTGCAGCCGCTCCCCAGCACTAGCATCGCCGTCTCAGCTCCACCTCAGATCATCAGGCATTAGATTCTCATGGGAGCACAGGTCCCTGGTGCCAAAAAGGTTGGGGACCACTGAATGCTAGCTAGCTAGCTAGGTAGATATAAATATACTGATATGCAAAAGAGAGCTTTTGATCAGCATGGTAAGGTGATATTAGAAACCTTTAAATATATAAAAACTATATCATAATTAATTTATATAATTGGTAATAAAAACAAAGACATTCCCCTTGTTTAACTTATTATTATAAATGTCATTCCTGATAGGAGGGGGTGAATAGAAAAGTATCATTTGCTGGGCACAGTCTATGTGCCAAACTTTTTACCTACTTTAATCTCATTTAAACCTCATCTTTCAGTCTTTGAGGTAAAATATTACAACCCCTATTTTACAGATAACAAAATTGAGACCTAAAAGGTGAAGTAATTTGATTTATATCACGGGTGATTAGTGAAAGCTCCCGGATTTTCACCCATGTCTGTCAACTCCAAAGCTCATGCTCTTTCATTTACTCCATAATTACCTACTGTGCTTTTTAAAATGCTGGAAATAGTGTACAAACCTTCACTATGTGGTGATAATCCCCTTTTTCATTTCTGATATTGGTAATTTGAGTGTTCTTTCTTTTGTTTTCTTTTTCCATCTTGCTAGAAGTTTATCTGTGTTTATAAAATATTGTGACTTTTTCTTGCTTGCATTCTTTCTCTAGTTCTTCTTGTGAGCTTATTCTGATAATGCCATATTGTGAGCAACCTTATAGAGAGACCCATATGGCAGGGAACTGAGGATGGCCTATGGCAAGCAGCCAGGGAGGAACTGCCCGCAACCGAACAGCCTGGGAATAACTGAATCCTTCCAACAGTGAGTGAACTTGGAAGCAGATCCTTTTTCAGTTAAGCCCTCAGATGAGATCACAGCCCTGGATGACCTTTGACTACCGTCTTGAGAGAGACCCTGAAGCACATAATCTAGCTAAGTCATGATGAGATTCCTCACCCACAGAAACTATGAGATAATAAATGTGTGTTGTTTATAATCCACTAATCTGGGGGGTATTTTGTTACACAGTAATAGATAACTAATACATCCACTTTATACCTGTTAATTTTCTTTGTTCTGAACCCTACTTTTAAATTAACTACTCTAGCTTCCTTTTTATTAGTGTTTACTTTTTTCTCCCACTCTTTAAATTTCAACCTACCTATATCATTATATTTGAAATGAGTTTCTAGTGACAGAATATAGTTATTTTTTAATCCATTTTGATATATTCTTTAATTAGTATGTTTAAGTATATGATTATTGATATTTAAATTTCAATTTCCTATCATTTTATTATATGTCCTCTGTTTATTTTCTATGTTTTTCATTCTTCTCATATCCCTTTATTACCATCTTTTGGGAAATGAGAATATTTTTGGTATTCCATTTTAATTTATTGATTGCATTTTTAGCTGTCTCTTTGCACAGTTTTATGTAGTGGTTGGTTGCACCAGAGATTATGATGTACACACTTAACTTTTCACAGTTTGCTTAGAATCAATATTTTATCATTGCAAATGGCCTGCCATTTAGGTCCCTTTACTTTTACTCCTTTATATTGTAATTGTTTTTGCATAGTATACCTACACACACTGAAAACTCAATAAGAAATGTTATAATTTTTGCTTTCAACCATCAAACATTTTAAAGAATCAAGAGAAAAAAGAATATTCTGTATTATTTACCCAGATATTCACACTTCATGTTATTCTTCCTTCCTTTCTAATGTTCCTTGTTTCTGTCTGATGTTATTTCCCTTATGTTTAAACTTCCTTTCACATTTTGTAGAGCAGGTTTTTTGCAACAAATTCTTAGTTTCCTTTTACCTGAGTGTGTCTTTATTTCATTTCTTTCCTGAAACATAGTTTCATTAGATATAGAATTCTGAGTTGAACATCTATTACTGCATGAAATGACCAATAATATTAACATTTTTTTTTCTAAACTCAACCCTACATTTTTAATTGTATGAAGCATGAAACTACCATACAAACTTCCATATTATGGAGTATCATGGGGATTTAATTTTTTTCTTATTACCAAAGTAATATGTGTGGAATTCAGAGCTTTTGAAAAATAGAGAAAAGCACACATTTAAAATGAGACTTAAATCTCTGTAATCCTAACACACAAAAAGGACCCACTGTTAAAATTTTGTTCTTTGTAAATATGTACACCTTTTAAATAAAGCTAGAAATATATTATAGATATTGTTTTGTTACTTTTTCCTTAACATAATGACATATTGGCCAGTGTTTTCTCTGACAATAAATATTATACACTACAGCAAGCTTTTTAATGGCAGCATTGAATCCTATAATTTATTTAGTCAGAATAACATCATGAACATTTAATGTTCTGAAATTTTAGCTATCAAAATAATGGTAGGATAAGGTTTCATACACATAACTGATTCTCACCTCTAATTAAGTCTTTGCAAAAAATGCCTAAAAATAGAATTGCTGGCTTAAAGGCAATGCATATTTTTAAGGATTTTGATTCATATATCAAAATTGCCTTCTAGAAAAGATATTTGGAATGTTAATTGATACATATTATTAGGTAATTTTTCTCTGCTTTTATTTTGAATTCATTTTAAGCATATGGAAAAGTTGCAAGACCAGAACAAAGAACTCCCATAAACTCTTTACTTAGGTTTACCATTTTTGACATATGCTATGTTTGCCTTATCTCTTCCCCCCACCCCTGCACACACGCATGCATACACACACATTCACACATATACGTATCTATTATTTATACTTTTTGAACTATTTGAGGCTGGCTTGAACACATAATGTTTCCTTTCCCCTGAAACTTTAGTGTGTATTTCCTAAGAAAAAGAATATTCTCTTATATAACTATAATACTGATATCTGATTTAGGAAATTTAACATTGATAAAATACTGTTATCTATAGTCTATATTCCAATTTTAGCTACTCTGCAGTCTATATTCCAATTTAATTGTCCTAATAATGTCCATTATAGTGCCTGTCTATCTATTTATAGATCTATTGGTCCAGGACCACATATTGCATTTAGTTGTCATATCTTTTATCCTTTTTTAAATTTGAAATGCTTCTCCAGTCTTTTTCAGTCTTTCATGACATTAGCATTTTTGCAGAATACAAGCCAGTGGTTTTATAGAATGTTCCTCAGTTCGAGCTTGTGTGATATCTTTCAATAGTTTAAATGTTAAGTCTAGGAAAAAAAAAATGAAGTCAAAATAGCATCATAGATATGGCTTTTATCAAGAGAAATTCTTGTAGAAAAAAAAGTGGTGCTGACAAAGGATTACCCAATATGAAAACAAGAGATCAAGAGGACTAACAATACAGCTGCTAGGTAATTAATTCTCTAATCTTAAGTATAGCTAATGAAATTAGGTCGACAGAAATGGTTTGTCGGCAGTAGAGGTTCTTGGCTTTTCAGTGGCATCACTGAGACACTTTGTGTATGCAAAGCCATATCTACCTAATATAAAACTATTACTAGCATCTCAATAATTCAGGGCAAGAGATTGTCAAATATCTATTTACTGAGTTACTGGGTGGCAAGGATTACCTAGAGTTTGCATCTTTAGTCTCATGGTTATTTTATTTTGTTATTTGCTTTTGTTAAATAATGGGAAACTACAACAAGGAAAGTATAAGATTTTCTGCTGCCTGTATGGAATCCACAGCTAATCTTTGTTCACTTGACTTGTAGGGGTGGACCTAGTAGGTTAGAGACTCATTAATATGAAATCCTCTCCAACTCTGACCACGTGAAACAGTAGTTTCACCAGACAACATTATGCTACCTGTAGGGGTGGGGTATGGTGGGGAAGCAGGCTGACCTCTGCAGTCTCAATAGGGACAGTCTTTGGAAAACCCTACTTATTTACCAACAGAAGAACTCAGGATCTAGTTCCACAAGTGACTTCCTTGGAAAACTAGTAGCACCTTAACTTCTGCCAAGCAAGAGATGAATGGAGAAAGAATCTTTAGCAAAAGATCTGGTAAACATTAAGAGGGACGCAGAAAAATGGAAGTAAAGTGAGGTGTCAGTCTCTTCTGCTATAACTGTTGACAAGGAGAAAATTCTGAGATGTTCTAAATTAAACTACATAGGGCAGAGAGAGAATGAGACAGAAATGTTTGTTAATGGATGCTGATCAGTTAACAAAAGACTTCTCACATTCCTGTTTTTCCTGTTGGCATTTCGGATTAATTTCCAGGTGGCTATTTCCGCAGATTATTTTAGCTGGGCACCATCTAACTCCAGGAGTCCCTATTGGTTGTTTACTCTTGGGCTTTCTGGACTGCTGCCCCCAGCCAGTCTACAGGAGTGGACTTTTGTTTACGGGGACTATGCACCTATTCTACAGCTGGCCCTGCTTCACCTTCTCCCACCCCTTGTCTATAGCTAATGGAAACTCTTTTAGACTATCTCTTCCTTCCTACTTCCCCCTACTTGATGTAAAAAACACTTGCAAAACTCTTGCAAAACTCGGGGACAATGGACATATTTTTTCTACCTGGCCATGCTGCTGGTGGTTTGGACTCCATGCCACAAGACAAGTCGTCTTTTTGGCTAGCATTTTTGGTTCAATAAAACCTTACTTAAAAGCAAAAACAAACAAAAAAAGCTTAAATTGTGGAAATTAAAGATCTTTAGTTTAACATCGTGCGGGAATTAGCTCATAGGAAATTGGTAAGTAGACCTAAGTCAGTAAAATAGTGGAAATATTGTGGGTTCAAGTGGAATTTTTCTCTGAACATTAATGTTTGGGAGCAATTAAAGAAAAAAAAAAAACACTTACAATGTAGGAAGACCTTAAGAAAATCCTACAAAACTCTCTTTTTGGTGAAAAAGTGGCTGGGTTAGTGGTTGCAAAAACCCCATTACACTTTCCCACAATGTTAAATTATTTTGGGAAGCTGTGTATGCAGACAAAATTTGTGAAGACATTTCTCTAGATGATAATAAAATTTGATGAGGGATGCTATCCCTTAGATAAGATTTAAATTTTTGATGAAATGTGTCTCTAATGCTTTCAAGAACCTACTTTGTCTGCAGAAGAAGCTGATTCCTTAGGGTCTAAGGCTGTCAGATCCACTAACGGTGCCAGCTGCTCTCTCCCAGAAATTTTAACTGTGCAAGCAGCAGAATTGTTAATGTTCTGGATGGAAAACAATTGTTAGTGCTCTGCATAAGTTTAAATGGTCTACCACAATCCTATTTACCCCAAAAGTCTGCACTTGCAGAGAACTTGAGATTTTGTGTTTGGACCATATCATTTGGAGTTATTGCAGAAATGCCCGCAGTAGAAAGGCCATCTCCCTGTTTCTATTTTACTAAAAATGAGCCCCCTGCCCCAGAGTAAGGCTATGTCTTTTGTTCTTGAGGTAAAGTTAGGCACACAGACAGACCCCAGGTGCCAGTTTGCTCCAGAGGAAGAGATGGAGAGGAAACAGGAGAGCAGTTGGGACCCTGGGAGGGGGCTGCAGATAGTGGCAGGGCAGTGGAGATGTGGAGTAGGGGGTGGAGGGGTGGGCCCACTCTGGCAGAGCATGGCCGCCCGCCCCCCCCAACCCCCGGGGCCTGTTCCTTGCTGGCCTTTAGCCTTTGACACTGCATGCGCTCCTCCCCCAACTTGCTGGTCTCCCACACTGCAGTGGCTTAGGGTGGCAGCTCACGTGATCATGGCCCCACAGAAGGAAAGAATGCCTCAAGGAAGGACTTACTGTTAAAGGATAAGAGTTAAGGAAAATTTAGTCTTTTTAAGGTTCTCAAACTTTTTGGTCTGAGGACCTCCTTAACACTCTTGAAAATTGTCTTTGTGGGTATACCCATTGATATTTATCATATTAGATTTTAAAATACACTAATACACATGCACACGTTCCATTAGTCTTCAGGCAGTGGAGAAACCAATTCTAACCATAGCCTTGGAAAACTCTACTGTGAAAGAGTGAATGAGAGTAAAACGGGCAAATATAGTCTTAGTGTTTTTATAAAAATAGTTTTATTAACCTTTCCGATTCCTGTAAAAAACTATGAGAACTACTGTTCCAAAAAACTCACAGATTACAAACAGGCCTTCACTTCCTTGAACAATTTAGACTAGAGCTCTGTGGACCAGATCAGGATCTAGGCTGCTGGTGCAATCCAGGTAGTAATCTGTGGCATTTACAAGAAGTGCCTGGGATGTTGTCCTTTTCACTTTTTGCTAGCATTTGCCCTTCAGTCTGGAAAGGATTCCTTTCCAAGAAAGAACAGATTACACAGAGTAACTAAACATCAGTTGCTGAGAAGGATAAATTTCAATTTCAAGGAATAAAAACAAATTCTTGAAATGATGTTGGAATATCTACAGAAATTTTGCAAGCTAAGAACTTGCTTGAAGAGAACAACCAATAAAATAGGAAAGTAACTCTTTGATGAAGGAACTGGCTAAAATCCAAAAAAATTAAAAAGTAATCTAAAGGCAGTGGGAAAAAATACTGTTTTGGTGTAAAAAGACTAACAGTACATCAGAGGTCTCCAAAAGAGAGGAAAGTATCTCTTGATTATAAAAGTGATTATGCTAAAGTTTTGAATTGTCTTGTGTAGATCAATTCTGAAGCTGAGGAAAAAAGTAATAGGAAATAAATCGTATTTCCTGAGTTAGACAAGGGAGAGCCAGGGGATCACCGAAGTGAGAAAGAGACAGAGAAGACAGTTCTATCAGTTATCTATTACTGTATAATAAACAAACCCCAAACTTAGTGGCTTAAAGCAGTAGTGATTTACTATTATTTTTTATGATTCTCTGGATTGGGTGACAGTTTATCTGCCATTTTGCCTGAACTGACTCTTGCAGCTGTATTCAGCTGTAAGGTGGTTGGACTGGAATATCAAGGTGGCCTCACTTGCATGTCTGGCAGTTGGTACTGGCTGTCCATTGGGGCCTTAGTTCTTTTATTTGTGACCTATTTGCAGGGCAGCATCATAACAGGGTGAAAGCAGAAGTGGCAGTGTCTCTTAAGACCAGATTTTGGAAGTCACACATCTCTTCTGCTGCATTCTGTTGATAAAAGCAAGTCACAAGATCAGCCCAGATACAAAGGAAATAGATAATTTCTCGATGGGAGAAAGTGCAAAGTCATATTGCATAGGATCATGGGAGGAATTTGTGGCTGTATTTTGTAATTTATCACAACAGGAAATGAAATGGATA